TGAGAGAAAGACAGAGAGCAAAGAGACAGAAAGGAAAAAAGAATGTGAGAGTGACGCAGAGGAGAGATATAGAGTGAAATCCGTGGGAACAGAAATACAGTTGCCAATTTCCTGTCGCCGACAGGCAGCAGTGTTGACAATGCCGGTTGACAGCCAGCTTCCCCTGGCCGCCACCCATTCATTCTGTATTGTAAATAAACAGTTTAAGGGGAAATGTCAGCCGAGAGATGGAAGGAGCAGCTCCGGCTATAATATCTCTTCCCTCTTCCCTACCGATGCAGCAGCCCAGTTGCCAGGCAAGTGACGGACGTGGTGAGTAATGAGGATGGCACACACAACCTGCTCTGTTGGGGCTGACAGTAACAAGGGCTGACGCCACAGTGTTTAAAGGTCCCCAAGGCCTTGTGGTTTAAACCCCATGCTTACACAGTATCTACTGTCCCACTGTGCATCTGAAAACGATCTCACTGCGACCTAAATACGAATAATCAGAGGGAGACGGGGAGGGATGTCCAAAATGGATGGCGGCCATGTTTTGGTCTAAATGGTGCAGTCATGGAGATGATAAGGATATTTGGACGCCTACAGCAAGACTCACAGATGATAGGGGAAGACAGCTCCAGGAGTGCTCATGACTGTCCCTGTGCAGCTAAAATTGGTGGTCATTATGACCCAAAAAAGAGAAGAGGAAGGCAAGAGTTGCTCTGTGACTAAGCCAAACTAAATCTGTGTTGCATATGAATAGTTTGCCTTGCCTGGAGTCATATTTAAAAACAGGGGCCAAGGACAGTTTACAGATGACACACTCCACCACATATACAATTTCTGAAATTCTACTTCTGCTTAATAACTTACATATTCTTCAGATCAGCATCAAGGCCAGAGATACTTTCATCGTGATCCAATCAAACATGTAAACAGACATACTGAGAGAGAGGACATGCAGAGATGGAGAGAGACACAGGTTCGCCTTCCGACTTCTTTCCCCATGCTCATTCCTTCAGGCCAGGCAGGCAGCTCATGCTACTCCCTAATTGTCATGCAAAGGTGGTTTGCATTGGTTGGCAGCTTGTGGCTCTTCTTGCTGAACATTAACTCTGCAGTGGTTCCTGCCAGCCCGTTCCTCTTAGTCGGTTATCAAATCAGGCAGCTGGACATCAGGGAACATACACACTGTAGTCACTCATTTCATTGAAGATACTTCAATAAAAACTTGTCACTAATGCCCGCCATCTACACGTAGATTGGCAGAGGTCAAGAAACACACGAGTACTTTCTACAGCTTTAAAAAGGTATTTTACTTTACTTTACAAGTGGAATTGGTTGGTTTGCAGGTTTGAATAAATCATCACATCTCTGTCACTACTGAAATAGAGACACAGACAGACAGAAGGGAGCACAATTGAACACAGCATGAGTCAAACACGCCATGTCAGTTCCAAACAAGGTGGGAAATGAGCAGCAAAATGATTATTTTGTTTACTCAACCAGCCATTTCTGGAGGTTTTTGGGGCTTTTTTCAAGCCCAGTTCTATTCTGAAAATCTATTTGTCTGGCTAGACAGTGAAAGCATCTGGTGAATTGGGGAAACCAGCTGCCACCGTGGCAAAACAAGTCGGCTTGCTGTCCTGGTTCCAAGACATCTAACATGTCTAACTCCCAGCATAAGATTCATGGAGAGAAACTATTGTGCGCTGCTGTTAAAAATTATTTACGAACTAAATGATTGAATAAAAAGGCCTCATATTCTCTATCTGCAACCAGTATTTAACTGCTGAACCATTTCAACAAAGCTAAATTCATACAAACAGCTTGAAGGCAGCCAGGTGTTTTTTATAGATAAATATTGCATGCTGTCACAGGGGGTCCGACGCTTGCAAACTAGACTTTACAAACAGGTCAGAAAACTAACTTTTTTACTTCCCAGCTGCAGCAGCTTCACCCAAAACCACCGGCCACTATCTTATATAGATTTTTAAGAATTGGACAGGAATTTAAAGTGTGGCTGGTCTAATCAATAGCCAGAATCTTCATCAGCACAGAAACTAACCTAGCCTGAGAATAGGCAGAAGGCCTGTGCTATTTAATAGATAAATATCAGCTGCTGTCAGAGGGGAGCATGCTGTTTACACACTCTGGCTGGGAAACAGAGAAGGCTAATGTTCAAACCTACCTCAATGAGGAATATTCTGTATCTGAAGCATCCCAAAGCTGATGTTCTTCACAGAGTGCATAAATTAGATTAGGACTACCTCAGAGGGCAGCTGAGAACACATTAATCAATATATATATATATATATATCAGACATATTCCATTCTGTTTAAAGACTGATGAATATCAGAAAGCTTAGAATTCTGCTAATAACATATCTGAGAATTTGCAGCAACGGACTAAGACACAAGACGCAGTATGAGGAAGGTTTGAAAGTTCAAGACTTGCTACATTCTTTATATTTACTCACTCCTGTCAATCATATTTTGATCAAATGCCATTCACTATGGCATTCATGCACTGATTTTGCAGGTCATCACAAACCTTTCCTGCCTGCTGCACTGGAGTCATATAAACAATTCAGCCTGAGGCTACAAATGACATTCACTGTGTGCCCATGTGGAATCCTATATGATAGAAAAAGCATGAAACTTTAATGGTTTCAGTCAGAAACATTCCTGTCACATTTTGCTATTCTGACAAATACTGTATATTTGACATTGGCATAATCCCTCCTGTCAGACCAGCTTTTGTACCTAATCAGAAAGTCCTCTCATGCTGGGTGGGTCAAAAACTAAAACCAGTGGGCACTGAGTGAGCAGAAGTTTAACACTGCTGACCAGTCTGACCTCCACACATGGAAGTGTTCTGTTGCTGGTCGCTGGTCTTTTGCACTACCCTCATTCCCACTATTAAGTCTGCAGTCTGCACATTACAGTGATATTGCACATATTGTACTTTTTAATATATATATACACAACAACAACAACAACAACATACTGTATGTAGTGAGAAAGTGGATCAGATGATCTATTGCAGAATGTTTCCTGTTCAGTAATGAGACAAGGTGAAAGAGTTACCTGGATGTAACTCCACCACTGTAGGTACATGCATAGCCTGGCACATAAAACGCAAAATGTTACTGTGATATGGCCTGTGATATTTGATGCATCCGTCTAGTGTTGTGGTGGTTCTAATATTGGGTGCATCGAGTATAAACCCAGCTTAAGCATTGAATTGAAAAAGCTGTATTGTGTGTATGAAAGCAGAAAGGAGCCCTCATAACCTCAGTAGGAAGACTTATGTCCACTGGCTGCAAAGTCCAAATTCCACAGGTGTTTTTTTTATTTTACCAAGGAATAGAAAATACAAATTGGTTTGATGGTTATCATATAGTACGTAATTTCACAGTGTTTGGGTGGTGGATGTCAAGTCAATGCCAAAGTTCTGAAGACATGACGGTACTTGTTTTTCTAACTAAACCTAAACCTTATTTGTATATGCCTACAAATATTCTAGTCTGCTGTTAAATGCTATAGGAAGAGGAAAACCTAACATTCCTGCACGGAAGAACAACAACACGTTGAACTTTTAACTCCAGAGGAAAAAAACGGTAAAACTGTTTTCAGATATGAACTCCGAACAACTTGTCAGATGTATGCTCACATGTTGAAAATCCTCTGTTTGGTTAGGCGAGGGACAGGAGGAGGAGGAAGACCCCTATGTAATGATGACTTTTTGCATTTTTGCGCACAGCACAAAACAATAACTGTGACACTTTGTGGCGTGCTGCGATTTTATAACTGAACTAAGAGCAAGGCGCACAGACCATGTGAAAATCTGATGTTTTCACACCACAGATGACAAAGAAAGGCATTAAAACATGGGGTAAAAAATTTGACTCGTAGGCGGATATTAATTGACAGTCTGTATGAAAACAAAACGATAATTAATGAATAAGGAAAGCAAAAAAGCACGCAGAAAAGAGTCCACTGAGAAGTTGTTTTTTTAGTTTATTACTTAAAGGCTACATGCCACTGTTGTTGTTTTTTGTAATGTTTAAATGTTTTTAATAAAGGCGTATATGTTGAAATATATGGCATTCATTGTTTCGTTTTTTACCGTGATATCGGATTGGGTATCGGGAATCATGGAACTTCACTGGTATTGGTATCAACCACTACACTTCTGGTATCCTGACATCCCTGGTTGTTAATCATTTTTTACTTTCCTCATAACCTTCCTTTGATCTCTCAAAACAAAATCTCAGCTTTGAGTGAGGAAAATCTGTCAACAAGCTGCTTTGAAGGGCTCAATACAAACAGGGCATAAAAGCAAGTCCATTGGCAAAACGCCGTATAGTGCGTTAAATCACAGATAGTATTTATAAATAGTTTGTTGTTATCTGTAATTTGGGAGGGCCATTTCAAACACTTTGAAACAAGTGCAGCATTTGCATGAGCCTGCGTGATGTACCAGATGCCATGAGATAATGCTGATGGGACCACTGCTGTGTCATTTGGTCTCACTGAAAGAGGCTGAGCAGAGTTAAAGCTCACACGTCTAGCATCTGTGAGTTCACATTGTGTCCTTCAACATTAGGCGGATAATTGGCAGCTACCCTGGTTGATGCCAGTATCTTGTTTTTTACCGTCCATACGGCTGTGAGTCCGCTGGGAGCCCTTCCTCACTGCCGTGGCTTGTTTTCAGTAGTGAGCATGTGCTGTTGTAGTTCCTTTACAGCCCTCAGAACTCAGCATGCATTTATCATTCACAGAAGTTAAAGTATTTTAGTGCTTAGCAAAAAAGCGAAGTACTTCAAACAGCGTTTCATCACGACAGCAGGGCTCACGCTTTGTGCTTCCACTAAAGACCTAGCTAAAATATGCTTATTCAAGACAAAAAAAACAGCCTCATCATTTTGAAAAGAAAATGTCAGCTATGATACTTTTATGTAGTTGTTGAAACCTATAGAATGTATGCATGTCCTTCTGTGCTCTATCCCTACCTGGCATGGCATGGACCAGGTCGCCACACAGCACCATGAACCTCGGCCTGGGTCTGAGGTGGTTTACGGCCTCCACAGCCTGCTTGGTGAGCTCCACCTCCTCGGCCCATTCCTCCCCTCCACCATCGCAGTCGCCGTCCTTCCAGGCCTTCATCAGCCCCAGCTGGGGGTCTGCAGCCTGGATGAAGCAAAATGGTCCCGTCCACTCACACTCTGCATCTGCAACAAGAGGCGTGAATAGACTTAGCAGTGTTGACAAAGACAGACGCTAGTTAAGACTACAATGCAATAACACTGTATTTAAAGATACTTCAAATGTAGACTTATTAAGTAATTATTATGTGTAATAAGGAATGTGTTGCTGAAAGAGATAAACCCACAGAGAATTAACCCTTTGACTGCTTAGCTCTACAGAGCGTTTCATTCTTTTTTTTATTTATTTTTTTTTATTCATCTTTTAGCTCATTGTTTCGGTTTTACGGCCC